AGCTGTATAGAAGTGTCTTGAAAAATATCTAGTAAAATATTATGTACTGTCATCATGGCAAATATAAAATATATCAGTTATTAGAAATGAGTTATTAAAACTATTATGTTTAGAAATGTGTTGAATAAAAAAAAAAATCTGCTCTCTGTTAAACAAAAATTGGGGGAAAAAATAAACAGGGGGGCTAATAATTCTGACTTTAACTATATATGTCCATATATTTATTCAATTAGCTAGCGGATAGAAGGAACCCTATCAGCTGATCACCACGTCAGTATTTAGAGTGAATATTTTGGGTAGCCATACTTACTCATGTTTATTCTCGTGGTAGCTTTCAGCACCCGCCAGGTAGTTTTGGTTGGGCACAGTCCAGTGAAAGTATTCATCAAACCAGTTTACATAAGTCGTCCACTCACATTCAGCAATACATTGGCCAATACCTCTACAGCAGTAAAACTGCCACCTGGATAAAGATACGTCACAAGATTACCTGAGGTGACACATGTCAAAATTAGTAAGAAAATCTCCGCTCACCGTCTGTCCTCATGTTTGTTGTTGTGGTAGCTGCTCATTCCTGACATGAAGTGGTGTGCTGGACACTCATAGGTGAACGCTTGGTCGAAGTCATTGACATACGGTGACAGAAAACAGTCTGCACCAGAGCTAAAGGTGTCTTTACAGCCAAACTCCCACATCCGGTCCTCATGATGATTGTGATGTTGGCTTTGGTTTATTAGGATGAAAGAATACAGTGAGGATTAATTCAGGGGAGTCCAAAGTCAGTCCTGGAGGGCCGGTGTCCTGCTGATCTTAGCTCCAACTTGCTTCAACACACCTGACTGGAAGTTTGTAGTATAGCTAGTAAGAGCTTGATTAGCTTGTTCAGGTGTGTTTGATTGGGGTTGGAGCTAAACTCTCCAGGACACCCTGGACAACCCTGAAGTAATTGAATAGACGTAAATAGATAAATTATATACAAGAACTTACTGTCAGTACTGTATTTCACTTTCTGTAAATGAATTGTAAACTCAAGCACTCTTTAAATAGAGCATTGAGTTCCAAACCAAATCAAGGGACATGTCAGAACTTCAGTGAACATTCTACCAAAGTTTGCAAACCTTTTTTTCAGTAATGTTAACAGAACGTTTGTGATAACACAAATTTAGCTGGTCTTTATTTTTAAGCACACAATGGTATACACTGTTTAACGTATTCTAACAATATTCATTGATAAAATTCCCAAAATCGCTTACGAAATTTAATCATTTCTTAGCATTTAACTAGATATAAAATGAGCTTTAAGCAGTATGTTCCAGTTAACTTGAATAATTTATGCCATATAACTTGCTGCAATGCAAATATATTATGTGTTTAAATTTATTCATAATTCAGCTAAACATATACTGTATTTCTTCAACAAAATACAAAGTATCTGCTTTCCACTCACTCACCTCTTTATATAGGAGATGGACTGTCCTGGAGGGCAGGTAAAGTCTAGAGGCTGATCATAGGCATTTTCCCAGAGTAATTCTGTGGGAATGGATTCAGACAGAGTATTTTACAACAAGCCTATATATTGATTTATAAGAAGTGAAAAAACGTTCAAAAAGCTTCTCACCCTGTCCACTCGCCAAGAGAGTGGTCAGCAGCAGAAATACAGCAGCTCTCTGCATGATGTTGTCATGTCAAATTAGGAGAAGATCTATGAGAAAAAGCGTGCAGCGTTTATATAGAGCTCAGAGCTGATGGTCACTGATGTATCATACGGTCGGTTATTTAACAAGTGTGTTCTCATCATGTTTGAACAGGTGTTGACCTTCACCATTTTAAGGTGAATTCTCACTGATGTTAAAAAAGCAAGTTAAATAAATGAAAAAGGTTTGGCATCTGTTTTTAATGATGAGTTTTCATATTAAGCACAAGCATTATTTGTAATCGTGCAATTTTTTATTGAAAAATCTTTTTTTATTTTTTACTTTATTGCTGAAAAACGCTTGGATTTTAGCATGAAAATACTTTTTTTTTTTTTTACAATTTAACTCTTCCCCCCTCCCTCCCCCAAAGCATACTAATTTAGTTGAACAGGTAATTGTATTGTTATACATGGGCTAAGGCAAAGAAAAACATATACTGTACTCCACATACAGAAATACACATATACATATATCAATCAATAAACCCGAAGCATGAGAGGTATTTGCTTGTGCCATTGTATAGTTATGTTCCAAAAATTGCACAAACAAGTCCCCAATTTTATGGTACTTTTTTAATTTGCCCTTTTTACTGTAGGTGATTCTTTCCAGTGCAATGTAATGTCAAATCTTTCAGCCAGTGGTCAATGGATGGACTTTCTATGTTCTTCCAATAGAGTGCTATTAAACTCTATTCAAATTTCTATTTATATTTGTGCGATGTAGTGTTATTTTGAAATCAAATAAATATTGCATTTTTAATGTTACATTTTTTGACGCTTTTAATTTTAACATGTCTGTAGTTTCTTGTTAATTTTTGTGTTTGTTAATTGAGTACAGGTAACTGTTTCTTGTCATAAATATAGACATAAATGATGGAATGATGTTAAGAAGATATTCAATAAATCAAAACGTTTATGACAACCACCAAGTGGTTAAATCAAATATTTGCTCACTGAACACAAAGAAAGAAATAATTCCTAGCAAGTTAACACTTGTGTTACTTCAACACCACACACTCTGTGACTCATGGCAGAAAAAAGGATTCCAGCACAAAAGGTTAATCATCATTTCCTTTAAAAAGTGGCCTTCCAAGTAACATCTCCACCATGATGCAGCCCACTGGCCAGATATCAACTGAAACAGAAAATAAAAACTGTTCCCACTCATTGAGATGTCCTGCAGTGACTTCTAGTGGTTAGCTGATGTCATAACTGCGTTTGTTTGCGCTCCATTAGTAGTTCTACATGTATGTTTGACCTGTTTGTGAGTAGTGCATCCAGATGAGGATAATCTCTGGTGCTCTGTGTTAATGCATTCAAATTCAAAAGTTTATGTATTTTTTTATTATATTTTTTAGGGCACCAATAAATAAAAGCATGCAAATAAAATATGAATCATTCAGTTGATAGGTTTTGTAAGAAATAAGACAAATTCAATGATTTATTTTACTCTGTTGAGCTGGTGTCATTTCTTTCTTCTCACAGTCTTGGTTCACTTCCAGATTTTCCGCTTTGAGATCCTGAAGAACAACACACATTTACAAGAAACACCAATCTTCAGTGCAGCCAGAGAGGTAGGAAATGTTTTCTTTTCTAACTTACGTTGTTGTTGTTGTTTTTTTACCTTATTGTAAATATATACTTTCTTGATCTAATTCAAGTAATATTTATTTATTCATTTATTTATTTGTTTATTTATTTATTTTGAAAACAAGTAATTTTGTTTTTTATTTCAAACTATGTTGGTTTAAGAATGTAACAACATAATATTGTAAAACAAAATGGTTATAATTCTCATAGACCAAAGAAGAAATGGGTTTTTTAAGCATTTAAGCCCTTAAAAGTGTGATATAGCTATAGGATTTAAAACTTTTCATACACATATTTGAATTTCATTCTACAGAAGTGGTGCAAAGTCTGGTTTTATTACAGAACGTTGACCTTTTCACAATTTTGGAATTGTTTTAACAATGCCCTTAAACTGTTAACGAAGTTCTTACAAAGTCTTACGAGTATCTTACGAAGAATATTTTACAGCGCAAGGATTTAAACGATATGACACTTTATAGTCAGCCAGTGAAGAAAAAATACAATTTGCTTGATATGATCATAATTTCTAGGCTTGATGAACTTTAGCAACTGGCCACTCTCGACTTACTTGTTTAATAAAGATGACAGCAAGCCAGCTAATAGAGCATCACAACTGTCCAGTCTGAATATCGTATGAATGCATGTACTAGATTGTCTGCATCAGAAACAGAAGTGTTGTTGGCAGTGTTTCTAAGAAATCTGTTTTATTTACATGAAAAATATGATATTCAAAAAAAGTTGCTCTCCATAATAAAGCAACATTACATCCTTCTACTACCAAATTGTACAGTATTATATAGGCAAATGTGTGCAGGTGTTTGGTGTAAATTTGCTGTCTTGTCTGAATTCTAAAATGACTGATCATTCTTTGATAGCTTTAATAATTGATTAAATGTAGACAACACAGTGGTGTAGTAGGTAATGCTGTTACCCCTCAGCAAGAAGGTCACTGGTTCAAGCCTCGGCTGGGTCAGTTAGCATTTCTATGTGGAGTTTACCTGTTCTCCCTGCGTTCGCCTGGGTTTCCTCCGGGTGCTTCGGTTTCCCCCACAGTCCAAAGACATGTGGTACGGGTGAATTGGTTAAGCTAAATTGACCATAGTGAATGAGTGTATATGAATGTTTCAGTGTTGGGTTGCAGCTGGAAGGGCATCTGCTGCGTAAAACGTACGCTGGATAAGTTGGCGGTTCATTCCACTGTGGCGACCCCATATTAATAAAGGGACCAAGCCAAAAAGGAAATGAATAAATTAAATGTATAGCTGAAAGTCATCAGCATAACAATCAAAACTAGCCAAGTATTTTAATAATAACCCAAGCTTCAGCATGCAGGTTGAAAAAAAAAACATTAGAGGGCCTAAGATAGACCTTTGTGGCACTCTGTACTTTACTGCTTTGCTGCCAGGGTAATTCTGTAACTGATCTGTGAGAACTTTGTGTTTTGTTGTGTTGAACACAGCAGTAAGACCAAACAAAACTAAAAATGAGAAGCATCCTTGCAATCATAACGCAATCAATATTAAGCAATCATAATGTGCCCCAAAATAGTAATCATTAAAAAGGTGCAAGATATAAATTATGAAGAAAGAAAATTAACTCCAAGAATGTAAAATTCCCCAAAAACATTTCACATCCCAGTCTATTCCCAAATATAAGCAATATTGACTTTATGGTTCCAACACTGTTATAATTGAGAAATAACAGACTCACGCAGAACTTATGTGACTGAAATGTATTGATAAGTTGTTACAGATTTCTTTTTCACTAATAGTCACCAGTTTGACATTGTGTTTAGTCTTGTATTCATTTCAGGTTTGAATTTGATTGTATTTGCATTTGAGAGAGTCTCAGCATTGCAACTTGGCACAGTACTGATACTTCCAGCGACGGTCTCTGAAAAATAAAACAAAAAGACATCCTTTTATTGGAATGTGACATTTTTACATGCTGTTATGATTACAGCATCATATTTGACTGTCGGCTAGAAACCTTGTCAACATTGTCGATAAACAAATAGTCAATATTTGAATTAATTAAACATTCAAGAGAGAATTCTATGCAACATTAGCCAATATTCATATTGACATTAGAGGATGTGTACTTACTCGTATTTATTCTCATGGTAGCTTTCAACACCCGTAAGGAAGTGTTGGTTTGGGACAGTCCAGTGAAAGAGCTCATCAAACCAGTTTACATAAGTGGTCCACTCACACTGACCAGTACAGACGCGGTTACCTCTACAGCAATAGAACTGCCACCTGTATAAAGATATATAATAATATTTCCTCAGGTGAACTCACATAAAATGTGGAAATCAGTCAAAAACCAGCGCTCACCTTCTGTCCTCGTGTTTATCACTGTGGTAGCTGCTCATTCCTGACATGATGTGATTTGGTGGACACTCATAGGTGAACTGTTGGTCGAAGTCATTGACGTACGGAGACAGAAAACAGTCTGAACCAGAGCTAAAGGTGTCTTTACAGCCAAACTCCCACACCCGGTCTTCATACTTATTCTCATGTTGGCTTTGGTTTTATCAGGAGGCAAGAAAACAGAGAGGATCGGTTTTATTTTCTGATTATAAACAAATACACTGTAAAAAGTGATTAATTACTTAAAGCGAGTAAACCAATAGCTTTAAAAGCAACACTTTCACTTTACAAAAATAATGTTCACACTTTACAATAAGGTTCATTAGGGAATGTTAATTAATGCATTTACTAACATGAACAAACAATGAACAATACATTTAGTACAGTATTTGTTCGTGTTATTTAACATTAGTTAATGAAAATACAGTTGTTCATTGTTAGTTCATGTTAACTCATGGTGCATTAACTAATGTTAACAAGCATGGACTTGGATGTTAAAAATGCATTGGTAAATGTTCATTTATGATTAATAAATGCTGTACATGTATTGTTCATGTTAGTAAATGCATTAACTAATGAACCTTATTGTAAAGTGTTACCAAAATAATGTAAGTAAATCCATTGTAACTTAACTGTTGACTTAATTTTGATAATTTTGCTAATTGTATTCACTTTTTTCACAGTCAACTAATAATTTTTTACAGTGTCAGACAATTTTAGCACGTCTGTTTTTAAATAATTGCCGCAATTATCACAATATTACATATTTGGTGCTTCATTAAGTCTATAAAATCTAAACTTATAGCCTGTATTGTATTTAGAAGACACACTTCTGAGCAGGAGTCTGGAAGAGCAGATTTATTTTAGTTACTGTCATTTTGCTAGATAGAGAAAAGCTGGGAAGAAAAAAAAACAAATATAATAAAGGTGTATTGAAAAATAGCAATTAGTTTACTTTTATTTAAAAAAAGTGAGCACAATTAGCATTAAAATGAAGCAAATAAAATTAGCAAATTAATTAGCAAAAGTTTAAGTCAACTTAATAGTTCAAAGTTACAATAGATTGACTTGCAGTAATTTTGTAAATTCAGCTTGTTGCTTTTAAGGCAATTGGTTTACTTGTTTTAAGTAACTAATCACTTTTTACAGTGTACTTAAGTACTGTATATTATTACTATAATAACATTTTATAACATATACAACATTAGTAAAATGTCTTAGAACTATGAGGCTGCATTGGCACATGATATATTAACTTTTAGTTTATTTATGTTTCAACACAGTGTTTATACCTTAAAATCTGCACCTTCTGCTTTCCACTCACCTCTTCACATAGGATATGGACTGTCCTGGAGGACACTGAAAATTCAGGGGCTGATCATAGGAGTTTTCCCAGCGTAACTCTGTAGGATGTAGTTTGGACAGAACACTTAGCAACAAGCATAGAATAAATTCATTAAAATAATTAAACCGTTTCTCACCTTGTCCATTGGCCAAGAGAGCGGTCAGCAGCAGAAATACAACAGCTCTCTGCATGATGTTGTCTAGTCAAATTAGAAGACAATCTGAGAGGAGCGTGCAGCGTTTATAAAGAGCTCAGAGCTGATGGTCACAGATGCATCATAAGGTCGGTTATTTAACAAGCAGCTTCTAATCATATTTGAACAGGTGTTGACCTTCACTATTTCAAAGTGGATTCTCACAAACTGACTTTGAAAAATACTTGTTTTTAGCAAGAGATTTTAAATGTATACCCATACAGTATAGAGTGGATTAATCTTTAAGAAAAGGGACTGACATCTAATTGCAATTGAATCGTTTTAAAGATACTAACCTGTATTTCGTTTCAGACTTCATAAGTAAATAATAAATATTTCATTAGTGACTTAAAGGTTTTTTGTTGTTGTTGTTGTTGTTAAAGCCCCAGTATGTTCAAAATGAACACTTTGTTTAATGAGTGTTTGCACTTCTTGCTTAAGCCAATATGCAAAACATTGATTAGTTGAAATATTTTAATAGCCAGCATTTTTAAGAATTAAAATAAAATGTTTTTTTTATATTTCAATTGTCATGATTAAGTAACAAATGAATTTACTATGAGTTGTTCCTGCATGTCAAAGTAAACTGGTGCTATTCAAGCATTTGAAGCATCTTTCAACCAAAACTACATGCCTAATCTTGACGTTTCATTTATTTATTTGATAAAAGCCTGCACTGGATTAATTTGTTTTTCTGTATTTGTGGGAAAATACTTGATGTGCAACTTTACCAGTAAACATTGATAAGCAGAGTTGTATAAGAAACCTTACTATCTCAGTTTTTTAAAAGCAACTTGACATTAAATCTAAAGTTATCTAAGACGCGTTATGCAAGTTTATTTTATTGTTATTATTATTATTATTATTTTTTTTTTAAGAAAAGGATCAGGGTTTTGTACAAAGTGTAAATGTACTTAATATTTTACTATTAAAAAATGTTTAGCCAGGGTCTGAAATAATTACATTCATTATAAATCATGAAAGATTATGAAGTTTTATTTGTTATTTAAAACAAAACTGTTGTGGTGTTAAATGTGCATATTCTGTGTAACTTAATTATTGTGTAATTCATTAATGGCATTAATAAATAAACCGACCAGTAGAGTAAATTTACCACAAGCTTACTGCCAAAGTAGAATGATTAGGACAAATTAAAGTACAGTGTTTTGTTTGCAGGGTATTTTCTATATTTCAAATGCTTCTGAAAGAATTAACATGATTTCATAATAAACAGGAACCTTATAACAGAGCAACATTATCAACAACTCTTACTTTTATTTACAAAGTCACACAGTTTACATTAATAAATGTTTGGCCATGTCTTTATGTCACATATTTATGCATAAAGCTCAGTGACATTGAGGTAAATCGGTGTTCACTCAAAGTGATGTTTCTTTGGAGTCTCTGATCTCTGTGACGGGCGGCTGGAATGACAGGATCTCTGTAAAAGTGTGACCTGTAAAGTAAACAAAATAATGAATGATAGTGTGTTTGAATAACACACACACACACAAACATTTTAAATGTCAAATAAATATATAAATATTTTATATGTCATTCTTCTTTAACCTCAACATGTACAAATTAAGGGCTAGATTGACTAACACCTTGCACAGTTTGTGAAAACAAACTTGTCTTTAAAAATTACTCTCTTAATTATAAAGTTCAGAAAGGTTTTCACAGCAATGCAATAGAAGAACAATTTTGGTTTCCCAAATAACTTTTCAGTAAAGGATATTTGAATCTAAATTATAAATGGAATGCCAATAAAGTATCTTTATGCTTAAGAATGAAATCTCAAAGTGGAAAATATCTGTCAAAATGCATAGACACTGTTGTTTTTGTGGCTGACCTTGACTCTTTCACTCTTGAAGCTTAAAAAAAAGGAAAAATGTTTTTAAGTGGTGCATATTGGCACCTTTAAAGTGCATATGAGTGTCCTAATATGTACCTTTAAGTAACCAATATGGACCCTTTAATGCAGGGGTGTCCAAACTCAGTCCTGGAGGGCCGGTGTCCTGCAATGTTCAATTCCAACCCCAATCAGACACACCTGGGCAAGCTAAGCAAGCTCTTAATATGCTTTTGGACTGAGTTTGAACACCCCTGCTTTAATGTGTACCTTCTGAAAAGGGGACAACTCTTGAACCCTGATTTCTGACAGTGTCATGTCATATGAATTTAGCAGTTTCCCTTTAATGCTGTATTAATGAGAAGAGAGAGTAAGTAGATAACCAGAAGAACTGAACACTCTCTTCAACACTTTTATGGTCTCATTCACATTTGCCGTTTATTAAATTTAGTCTAAACCTGCAGGTTTAGTAAATTAACTATTAAGATATTTTCACTTACGTTTCCACTGATCCAGAGGCAGTTCTGTGTTGTCCATGGAGTGGTCATAAGGCAGGGCCTCCGTCTCTTCTTCAGGTTCTCTGAACTCTGTAAAAAGGGGAAGTTCGAGCGCCTCTGCAGCGCTTACACGTTTATCTGGATCCAGAACCAGCATTAGCTCCAGAGCACTCACCGCTAACAAAAAAAAAACATACACACAGACACATTAGACGTTAGCAACTGTATGTTTCCATCCATCAATCTGAAGAAATGGTGGATGGAATCATCAACAACTTCTATCTGACCTTAACAATGTTGCAAAAGAAAGAAGTAGTTTACCTTCTGAGCTGGCTTTGAAGAAAATAGTGTTTAAGTCTTTCTTTGGGACTTTAGGTAGACCTCTGATGTAGTTTTTGGCCTGTATGAATGGATGAAGAAATCAGTTGTGTGTATGCATGGGTGAAAATGTAATGAATTAATCTTTCTTTTTATGTGTGACACACTCACATCTTGGCTTTGTAGCTTGGTGATGAAATCCGGAGCTGGAGTTCCTGTGATTTTCATGATCTCTCTCAGCTGGTCTAGGTCTGTAAGTCTAAGTTAAGGATTTATTGGGGGAAAAGAGAGCCGATTGTCTGCAGTCTCTATTGACTGTGGTAATCTTTGAATAAAGAGCAGTAGGTTTTTACTTGTAAATGGAGTAATGTGCAGTGGCAGCTTCTGTGATGCATGTTCATACCGCACACAACATTTACGGTACTTTTCAATCTTATGATTGAAATCTTTAGAGCCTGTAATAAGCAGTAGTTGCATGAAGAAAAAAGATACGGTCATTGCCTTTAAAAAGTGTCCTTCCAAGTAACATCTCCGCCATGATGCAGCCCACTGACCAGATATCAACTGAAACAAACAAAAACAAAAAAATCATTCTCATTGAGATGTCCTGCAGTGACTTTTAGTGGTTAGCTGATTTCATAGCTACGTTTATCTGTACGGTATTGGTAGTTCTGTATGTCACCTGTTTGTGAGTAGTGCATCCAGTTGAGGATAACCTCTGGTGCTCTGTACCAGCGGGTCACCACATAACCCGTCATTTCTGAATCCGCCTGACGCGCAAGTCCAAAGTCCAGGATCTTAATACAGAGGTTCAGATTTGTGTTTTTAAATAAATATCAGCATTTTTGAAGAGAACCAATGTGTGAAATCTTGTATTCAAGTAAATGTTACTTTATTTGAAACTTCAGCATTTAAAGAAGTAGACTATAAAAACTATTTTTTTAACCGTTGGTTTAATACCTTAAGTTCACAGTTTTGATTCACTGCCAGATTTCCTGGTTTGAGATCCTGAATGACGACAAACAAAGTCAATATTTAAAATAAACACAAAACTACCTTGCAAAACAAACAAGATGCACAAATCTTAATGAAAATGTAAAATATAAGTATGTTTATTCCTAAAACAAGTAATCAAAATCAACCAATAAAGGTAAGAAAGTTTATTTTCATATCTCTTACTCAAATAACTTTAATAAATGTTTCAGAATATAGGTCTTAATATCTAAAGCCTTTTACCTTATCAATTTAACACATTTTTTTAATGAATATCCTATATATATATATATGCTAGAGACTAAAGAGGAGAACAAGAAAAATTGTGTAAGATGTTTTTTTAATTGTAAAAAGTAAAAACTAGGGCTGCACAATATATCGTTTCAGCATCGATATCGCAATGTGTCCGCACTAGTCAGATCGCAGGATTAGCAGTGTTGAGTTGGGATTATTGTTGACCAAAAACCATAGGTCAAAACACAGGTGATTTGTGGAGTCACTGCAGAACTGAACCGCACTAGAGTTAAAGTTTGTCATTCGTATGCGTTTATAAGGATTGTAAGTGTGTGAACATTTTGAGATAGTTAAAAGCATCCAGACACATAGAAATAGTATCGTTTGTAACTAATAAAGATTATTTTTATTGGATTATTTAAATGATGAAGACCATGCAGTGTTATTTTGCATTTAATTATTCAATTAATTTACCTGAATGCTGTTAGACTCCCTAGAAACTGACAAAGCACTGTTTATTTCACTTAATCTTTGCTCCATTACGTTTTTTTAAGACTGTAGTTTGTTTATTATATTTATATAATAAATTATATAAAAATATTTTTATATAAAATAATATATAGACCTATACATGATTCACTTCCCTACAAAATCATCCTGATTAATCGAAAGGAATGACTTTCCTAATAAGAGTTAAGTCATCTGGTGAAATTGTATTTATATTGCAATATATATCGCAGAGAGAGAAATATATCGAATGATGTCACTCGATTAAATGGGCGTTATCAGTGATTATCAGCTAATAGATACGGGCCAGTAGGGGTTTCTGCACCCACTGGTAGGCTCAGAAGGTTGTTATCATCCATCCACATGGTTAATCAGCTATATATCACATACGGCCTTGGTAATATTATTTTTTAAATTTGCCATTAATTTTATTTTATTAACATGTACCTCTACCCCTACCCTAAACCAACTGTCACAGTGATGTAAAAACAGATCTGGACCTGGAGTCTTCTCTATAAGTATAGCTGATTAACCATGTGGATGAATGATAACAGCCTTCTGAGTCTACCAGTACTGGCCCATATCTATCAGTTGGTAACCTCTGATAATGCCCATTTAATCGAGTTATAACATTCGCAGAGGGTGGATCTCTTCAATATTGTGCAGCCCTAGTAATAACTATCATAATTTTGTTTACCATGGTTTACAGAAGACACTAGGCTTAATGTTATATTTAGAATGAAAATAAATTGATGACAAATTAAAAGATCACAGTGAAGTGCCAAAATAGTAATTAATTAAATAGTTAATTAAAATCTTTATACTTCAAACCACAATCCTTTGAAGCTCTACATATACCCAATTGTCAAAATTTGAAATGAAGCACAATTTTTCCAATAATTATTATTACTTTCAACAAATTCCTCTACATCTTCTCAGAGATGAGAAAAGAGAAGGACTGGCCAGAGGATGAATGAATGTCAGGGTTGAATGAAATGGTCACCCAACCCCCTCTGTGCATCTTATTAAACTGTCAGAGGTCACATACCCTGTGAATGATCCCGGCTGAATGAATATACTGTGGAAAAAGAGAGAGAGGGACAGAGAGATTTATAGAGACTACAGCGCTATAAAGCAGGACATAGTGTTTCCCAAATGTGATTGTGTGTGTATTTGTGCCTAACCTTCAGACCCCGCAGTATCTGATAGACCAGAAACTGCACTCTGTCCTCACACAGTCTCTCCATTTTCATCAGCTTTCCCAGATCAGTGCCCATAAACGGCATCACCAGGTAACTGAGAGAAAGAGAGACGTTAAATTAGGGTTAGTTAGAACTTTATTGGTAACATAAAGTGTGCGTTAGGTCTGAATCTACTCACAAATCATGAAATCTGTCCAACAAGATTTCTGAGGTAAAAACATCCAGCAGCCCGATAACCTGTCCAGTTTGAAAGAGATATGAGGGAAAATGAACGAGAGTAATGAGGTTAGTTTTCTTATACTCTCCAAAAAAATTATTTTGCTCCTTGTTCAAACCACTTAAGTAAACAAAACAACTCTTGAGATTTCTTTCGGGACAACTTAACTGTTTCATGTTCAATCTACTTTAACTTAATCGATTTGTGTAGGGATGACCTGAATGAATTGTGTGGAACCCTCCATTTTAAATGCTGGGCTCCATATAATCGATGTGTGTTAGGACAACATGATGGAATTAAGTTAACTTATTAGTATTTCAAATTAAGTGGATTAAAACAATTTAGTCATCATAAAAAATCTCAAGAATTGTGTCGTTTCAGCTCATTTTAAAAAAGTAGCTTGAAAAAACAGCAAACGTAATAGAGATCGAGGTAAATGTAGAGGCTGTTAACGTACATTCTCATGTTTCATGTGCTTGAGAAGTCGTAGCTCTCTGTAAGCGCGCTTGGCGAACAGTCTGGACTGGAACGGTCTGTGGAGCTTCTTGATGGCCACTCGAACTCCTGTCTTGCGGTCAATGGCTGAACTTTATATTGTAGAAAGATAAACATTTCAGTCATGACTTTAGCACTTTGTCAAACATGACAATACTGAGACCATCTATGGACATTTGCATTTAAAGGTTTTTTAAATATATAAAAAACTCTCCAAACACACAACTCTACCATAATAAAACACATAACTCTACCACAACAATACCAGTCATTTTTTGCTCTTTAGTGAACAAACTTACAGAACATGTTCATTATGCAAGTTAGCTTAGACAAGTGAAGAATCTATTAAAGCTGAAGGACCAACACAATGACTTCGTAAACTAAAGATCCCTTTAATTCGCCAACTTCTGCTTGATAAACACAGACAATGGCATCAGCAGGGGGGCTTTGTTATGTAGTTTCTTGTCTTGCAAAGGGAGAAAAGTTTTCAGTTTTGGTTAGAGAAGGAAAATAAAGAAAACAGTTGGAATTTCTTTGATACAACTGGACAAATTGATCTATAAGCGCTCACCGCTTAAAACACTCTAGTAAACTATAGTTCAGGATGTACATTTGATGAGCTGCATGAAGCACAAAAATGTCCTAAAATGTGTTTCAAAAGCTTAAAGTAATTAGTTTAAGGGTTCCTGCTAGCATGATATATTAAAAATGATTATTATTAGAGTAATATTCTTTTTTTAAGACTTTTTGATTACATAACAAATTTCACCAAATGTCCGTTTATAGTAAATTTAATGGCTCCGAATAACAAAAGGCTGAAAGTGATGTATATTTGACGTTATAGTACAGTTAAACAACGCGGTTTTTTAGAAGCCACTAAGTTTATAAGCGCTCCAAATTAACGCTCGCGAACAAAAGATGCGTTCATCTAATGTAACCATAGCAACAGAACAGCGTTCCAACGCATTCCTTTTAGATCGATTTCGAACTACATCGAACGTGCACGTCATTCGTTTAATTTGTATACAGGTATAATTCAAGCATGCTACGTCACAAAGAAAACTCAATTGCGCAAATCAAATATCTACATAAAATTCCGAGAACTGAGAAACAGATATATACAACCCCCCGACTTGTTCTTACAGTTTAAACAATTGCAATCTTTTAAATACCAAAACATACTAACCAGACTGTTCCATACGCTCCGGTTCCGATCTGGATTAGATCTCTGTATCTCTCTGGAACGTCCCAAACGGTTCTGTTTATCTCCTGGCGATAAAATCCTGCCCTGCTTCGAAGTGACATCCTCGAAGACGTATTGGACGTTTCAAATTTAAAACTATTCTTGTTACGTTCTCATAATTTTATCTCTTTTTCGTAAAAGAAGCTCTCGCAGAAAGAGTGCGGCTTGTAGCGCACCGGCTGATTTGGGGGGCGGTTCAAAGTTTCCACAATTACGCACTGGAGACGCGCTGACTCCACATTAGAGCATCATTAAAAGTCTTCAGACTTAAGAGTTATTTACCTGTGCACAAATGAGGTTGAAATGATTACTTGTAGACTGAAAATAGTCAGCTCATTGATGGGTTTCGGAGAGCGAGTGTAAATGTTTATTGAGAGAGAGAGGGGGTCGTGAGTTGGGACTTGGTGAGAGAGAAAGATCCTTCCAGTCGCACTCAAACAACTAAAGGCAGTTTGTTTTTATCTTTGTTTAAAGGGATGCGGGAGACCAGGGGGGGTGGAGATAGATGTGCATTATGCACAGGACACATAAACAAGGCATTTGCGAAAATGAAAGTAATAATAGGCATGCTATATTAATTCACTGTGCTTTTCTAAATACTAGCTAGTGGTTAATTCTCATTTAAATGTAAATATGAGAAACCACACCCAGTTACCCCCCATTCATCTTCAGATGAGTGTATGTAGTTTCAGGACATTCAGGGTCTTACAAAACATTGAGAAATAATTGTGACACCTTGCTTTACCACTTCCTAAAAGTGCAGTTTCCTGTTTTGAAAAAAAAATGCATTCCTTCTGTAAAGATGCTGCTTTTCCTCATATAGTACTTTTATTGAATTTCAGTATAAATATTTTCCATACTTTTTATATTATTACATTATTTTAATTAATTAGTCATTTATTGGTTGGTGGTTTGTTAATAAACAATCAAATTTAAGATCACTTATGATTTTGTATATTTAAGTAAGTACATTGGAAAAAAGCTTTCATTCATCCAATTAAAAAATATTAGGGTATATGGTTCACATCTACATTTTATCACTTGACCCAATGGAAAATAAATAATTTGCCTCAAAGATTATTTTCTATCGATGGGTTGCAGTTGGAAGGGCATCCGCTGCGTAAAACATATGCTGGATAAGTTGGCGGTTCATTCCGCTGTGGCAACCCCAGATTAATAAAGGGACTAAGCCGAAAAGAATATAAATTAATGAATATTTTCTATCTTTATGAGAACAGTTTTATATAACCAGGTACAATTTATTTAAATTCTCTTTTTGTTCTAAACAAGAAGTTAGCTGTAATCAAAACAACAATTCCCATAATATGTTCATTCATCCAATTAAAAATTGGGGAATAGTTTCACATCTGTATTTGATCACCCAATGAAAAATAAAAAATTTAATGTAAACAATTTTGTAAAGTCCATAAAAAAACATGTTTATTATGCATGCATATGAATGAGAATGAGATTAATGAATGAGTAATGAGGTTTAGCCTTACTATATACTGATGTTTTTTTTTTTTTTACTGGGGGGATTTGATTATGTTTTCACACAAATAAGCACATTTTCGTCAGTCCCTATCATAACAATGTCACAACGACAAAATAGTAATGTTCTTCATGCAAATTTTATTATTTCCTTTAAAATTTTGTGGTGAAAGATGATCCAACATGTTCTTGACAGTTTAGATTTGTGAGATTAACCCAAACAGATATAAATACTGACTTAAACCACCGGAGAAAATAGACAGGAAATATATATTACAATAAATTGGTCCATAACCTGAGAAAAGAAAAACCATTTGTAATACTGCTTGTTCAGTTTATGCCATTGCAGCGTAAACCCGTTCAACACTAACAGTTCATTTCAGTCATTAATTTTAAAAAGGATTTGACTAGCGATGAAAGATTTGGTATTTGATTGTGTTGTGCACTCTAGGATGATCTCTATTTTTTCATTTTCACCCTTGACGTGCAAATCAGCTGCAAACACAAACACACACACAATGCATTCGAGGTATGTTATATTCAGAGAACTTTGAAATGAGTAAAGCCAGATTATGCAACTGGTTCAATTTTATGCAGAGACTTTTGTACACTGATGCATATATGAATGTTTTAAGACACACATCCCACTCTGTCCAACATTGTAAACATATTTTCTCTCCAGCTCGGCCTGCTTCTCCGGCTTATTAGTTTGTTTTGGTCTTATATGAAAGACACCATACCCTGCTTCACCAACCTGTCTCACATCAAATATAAAAACACTCAAAACACACAACTCTGCGCATACGCACGCACACACGCGACATGCACTTTGTAATACTTTACAATACATTGTGTCCAACAATACCAGTCATGTTTTGCTCTTAAGTGTACAAACACACAGCCACATACAGGAAGGGCGTCATGCCTTGGAAATACATTGTCATCGTCTCGTCTGGCTGAACTGCAGTCTGTTCTTATGTCCACCAGTCCTGTAGTTTGCATGTTCAAAAGAAGGAGAGGGCAGTACTGTATATCGTCCTGGATTGTAGTTGCGCTCAGTTTTATTGTTCAACCTGAAGACTTTCGGGTTTATTGGGAGGATCTTTGAAATTGCTTACTTCCTCAAACACTAGCTCTGTGGAATGGAGAAAAGCTGATTAAAGTTCTGTATTTTTAAGCTCAACAAGGCTGCATTGATTTAAAATAACGAAAAAGTGTTCCCACATTATATTAAGTAGCCTTAACTACTAGGTACTTACATCAAAAAATACGTGTACTTGTGTTAAGATGAAAAGCAGAGGTCAAGAGTATAATTACATATGTAAATACAGAAATTAATTACAGATGTAATTACATGCAGACTATTTTTTTTATATATATAAGTAAGGTGTAAACTAGATGCCATGGCAAAACTTGGCATCTTTGGCTTCTCGCAAAATACATACTTCTCTCCCTCAAACAATGCAAGAGTCTTTCAAGAGATCACACTCAGCTGATGATTGATAATAAAGCTTACTTGGCATGCTGTCCAGGGAGAGAGCCTTGAGCTTATGAGACCCTCGAGCCCTGGGCTCCCTCCCGTTTGAAGGGCGAGAGGAGAGTTTGAGCTCAGGTAGATCTCGATGAACTCCCCCCGGCTTATTTCTGGCTAATGACATATATGGGATGGCTGAGGAGAGGTGTACTTGCTTGGCTATGGTATCAATTTGGTATGTTCAATTTACTTAGGTTGCATATTTTTTGGACAGTGGGGGGAAACCGGAGAACCTGGGGAAAACCCATGCGAGCACAGGGAGAACGAGCAAACTCCGCACAGAAATGTTCACTGATTTAGTAGGGACTTTAACCGGAGATGTTATTGCTGTGAGGCAACAGTGCTAATCCCTCATTGCCCACCTGGAAAGGAGGGGGAGCATGGGTGGGGGGGGGGGGGGGGTGTTCAAGATGAAGGTATTGAGATTAAAAAAAACCTGGTTATTTATAGTGGTTTAGGAATCATTTGATTGGGCTGAGCTGATGCGAGACCAGCTGAGAACAATCATAAGCACGTTATCCTCTCGAAATTAGTTTAAAAATAAATCTCACTTAATGCAAGGCATTGTGGTGGCAAAAAACTAGTGCTTAACAACTGGAAATCTCCCTTAGCTCCTTCATTCCAGAACTGGATTTCTCAACATGATATCTGTTATTTAGATGGAGAGACTCAGATTTTCAAGGACTAGCTCTATAAGAAATTATTTGGCTGCTTGTGGTCAATTTCTTGATTTATTTGACTAATCTATATCTCAAAAGCAATCCAGTGACCCCAGAGAAGTTTAAGTTATACCCTCTCTATTTTTGATAGTAATGTTTGTTCTTGTTCTGTGTAAACTGTAGGTATACATAGTAATTAAGTCTACTCAATATAGAGTGGGACCAAAAATGTAATATTCTTAAAGACTGTTTTCTATTTGAATAATTAAATAATTATAATTATATATAATAATTATAATTAAATCATATTTAAGTTTTATTTATTCTTATGACGGCAAAGCTAAATTTATTTTTTCTTATTACTCCAATTATTAATGTCACGTGAAATCAATTTAAAGGTGATTTGTAGCTCAAGAAACATTTCTTACTATTAATGTTGTGCTGCTTAAATTTTTTTTAGCAAAACGCCATGCACTAACATTCGTAGTTTGAAGTAAAGTTTTAAAATGTATTAAAATACAAAACAAACAGAGTATGCTGAATTGCTGACAACATAACTATGTTAATCATGCAAGTTAGGGTAATTAGGCAAGTCATTATACAACGATAGTTTGTTCTGTAGACAATAAAAAATAGCTTAAGGGGGCTAATAATATTGACCTTAAAATGGTTTTAAAAAAATAAACACTGCTTTTATTTTAGTCAAAATAAAAAAATCAGACTTTCTCCAGAAGAAAAAATATTATTGGAAAGCCTGTGAAAAATTCCTTGCTCTGTTAAACTTCATTTGTGAAATATTTGAAAAAGGAGGGCAAATAATTTTGACTTCAACTTTATGTGACTAAATTATCAAATATTGCTCATTATACAAGATGGGGTGACATTTAATGTAAGATCCCCCTCACCCTTCCACTCCTCCATTGTGCGATCCTTGCTCTCAGGGGTCTGATCGTATGGAGGTGCCTCTGGTTCATCTTCTGGATCATGGTACTGGGAAAAGTATGGATGGCACAGCGCTTCACTGGCGGAAATCCGTCCATCACAGTCTAATACCAGCATTTTTTTCAACAGATCAACCGCTAAAATAGAAAAAGGCATATGGGTTAGGAAAAAAGTGCAAGGGATAATTTGACATAATAGTGCTGCACAATATATTATTTCAGCATCGATACTGCAAAGTGTGAATATGCAATAATCACATTGCAGGGTCTTAAGCAATTTCAAGTGAACTTAAACAATTTGGACTCAACAAATTATATAGCTTGTCACATTAACAAAGATTAATTGTTAGTTATTTATACAATGAAGACTAAACAATGTTATTTGACTTTTTTTATTATCTCAGTACTGTTAAACTCCACTTAAAAACAATAACACACTGTTTGTTCTATTGTTTTCATCATTGCTTAGGATAAAATATATTCATATATTATAAATGTGTATATTTTATGCAGAAACACTCCCCACTAAACCATCCCAATCATTGAAAAGTTATAGTCATCTTGTGAAATTATATTCATATAGCAGAAAAACACAATATCGCAATGTCAGTTTTTACCAATATCATGCAGCCATACCTAATATTATTTGATATTCTAGAAATATTAGTCTCACCCAGTGGATTTGCCCCTCTAAATATCTTCCCCAGGTCCTGCTGCGGCATGTGCGGAAGAGACTGGATGTACTTCTGAGCCTAGATGCACAGCACAAAAAACCCAAATCAAATATTAAGTTCTGCATTGAGTTAAGAGCATAAATGCATTGTGAATGTTTATGAATGAAACCAAAACTGCAACAATTTGTCACTCCTCACGTGTTCGGAAGATATCTTCTTCAATACGTCCGGGGTTGGAGTGCCTACAACCTCCATGATTCTCTTTAGCTGATCTATATCTGAAGAAATTGTGTTGAAGATCATATAAAAATAATAATCTAGACCACCTATGCTGATTTATCAAAGTTGAAAACAATAAAATAATATTGTAGAGACATTTACAAGAAAATAAGCAGTAATCTTTCTACATTCAATGCAAAAACAGATTACTTAGATTTATTTGTCTTGTTTCTAGTCCAAATATCTAAAACTTCTTAAATCAAGAAGCATTTAATAGAAAAGCAAAACAGAATGTCTTGTTTTAAGAAATAATATGACAAAATTAAGTGAGTTTTTCCTTAAAACACCCTAAATAATCTGCAAAATAATATAATGCCAGAAGGAAAATCAAGCTTATTTTGCTTACCCCTTTGGCAGATAATTTAGCTTGTTTTAAGGAAAATCTCACTTAATTCTGATGCAATATTTCTTAAAACAAGACAATCTTTTTTACTTGTCTATAAGATGCTTCTTGATTTAAGAATTTTTAGATATTTGGACTAGAAACAGGACAAAAACTCTTAAGTAAGACTAGCATTTTTTGCAGTGTGTGTGCTACCTGCTATTTATTTGCAGTTATTAATGAAACCTACTAGCAATTTCTGAGTGAAACACCTATTCTTTAAGTATATTTTTATGAATGCATATGTTTTTAAGAGTTTAAGAGTTGCAGCTGAATGTGACGTTCCTACCTAAAGGAGAGATATAGTTAGCTATCGATGATGTTCCTACAATCGGCTGCTATAATTGAATTTGGGCCACTTAGACTTTGCCTTCCTCACCTGCATTACAGGAAGCAAAGACTCACTCAAAAACCACACATGAACACACTAAGAGGAGGACATATAGTGAAGGATACAATCGTTGCCAGGAAACAAAACCTTCCCCTTCAGAAGCTCACCCATGATGCATCCGACAGACCAGATATCCACTGTAAAGCACAAACTTATTTAATTAACTAATTGCTTGTTGTGTATCTGTCTGTCTGAATCAATCACTGGAGATTCTTAGGTTAAGCCCATCTCACCTGTCTGGTTGTAATGCATCCAGTTAAGCATGATCTCTGGTGCTCTGTACCAACGAGTCGCCACATAGCCCGTCATCTCATCATCTGTTTGTCTGGCCAACCCAAAATCGAGGATCTGAGGGAGGGGGGGAAGAAAATCCAATGTGTTATTGATCAGTCACGTGACATGTGGAAACCTGGCAGGCAAAACAACAACTAGCCATAATAGCAGTTACACTGGAATTTCTATAGAAATGCCGTCATGTTTTCATTTGTTTCAAGCTGCTAATATTTCAGCAGATATCAGCAGAACACAAAACAGAGATATGATCGCAAACTGTAAATTGTGGGCTCTAGTGATCCGCATCTGCAGCAGCAGCTGTTTTTAAGGCATTTCAACCCCTCATGTGCCTGTCAGAGCTACAATTCAGCAATGTTTATGTCTATCTTGTCTATATTCCTCAGTGATTTTGTCATTAGTGGCAGCGTTATAGTGTCTGCTTTTATATTTTGGTGTGTGTTGTTTTGCTTAGCATAATATTTGCTACTAGAAAAGATCTATTGGTTCACCTCTGCTGTTTATACTTTGACTTTGCATTTTAATTTACACTTCAATTGCATTTAACCTGCAACTTAGAGTAGAAACTGTATAAAAAGCAACCAGCCTGACAGCTAATAGGTACCATAGTTCAGTGTTTTCCAACCATGTTCCTGGAGGACCACCAGCACTGCCATGTTTTGGATGTCTCCTTTGTCCAACACACCCATTACAGGTCTTTTAGTCTCTGCTAATAAGCTGATGATCTGAATCAGGCGCGTTTGGTTAAGGAGACATGGAAATGTGCAGTGTTGGTGATCCTCCAGGAATGTGGTTGAGAAACAATGCCATAGATTGTTGTGGGTCAATGTGTGACTCCAGAATAGTTATCTTCCTCTCTATACGGTCTTGTGAGAGAGCCTCGATGTCTCTATTGCCGCCGTAATATTTGTGTAGTTTCCTTGGAATGGGTTCACTACGAGGCATGGGATGCTCGACAACAAAAAAACTCCCAAAAATATAAACAGTTCAATAATAGATGACCTTATCCCGAAATGGTAAAAAAAGGTGGGATTTATTTACATGGATGATGATAAAAAACGTCCAGTGCAAAATACATGTTCATTGACCCAATCCCAAAAAGGTATGTACAAGGAAATAATGCTATAAATTAGCTTTAATTCAGCACAAATCCATAAAGTTCTTCTTTCTGGTTGTTTTTCTCTGAATTCTGTATACCTTATTGAACAATTATCAATTATTTTGGGCTAAAAACAGATAAATTACTCAGCCCTTGGAGCAAGTAACATTTTACCCGTTTCCCCAATGGTATGATGACACATGAAAACTATCACCTGAAAATTAAAACTCATAGACTAGATATGCATAATGCGAGTTTCTCACCCTAAGTTCACAATCTTCATTCACGGCTACATTGCTTGGCTTTAAGTCCTGCAAACATGAAAACAAATGTGAAATATGGCATTGCATATTGTTAAAGCTATTATGGCATAATTCTTTTGTAAAGAAAGTTTAAAGCAATTATTTGACTGTAAAGTGGACACTTAAAAAGACAAAAAAGAGCACTCACTCTGTGTATCAGTCCAGCTGAATGGATGTACTGATTGGGAGGAGGAAAGGTAGTTTAGTCGTAAGATGAAAAAAGCATTTTGCAGTGGACCCTTTCACATTTCTGGGTTTGTTAGAAGTCGTCATAGTGTGGTAAACCATGAGCGGAGTGAATGGGAGAGTACAGCAAATATAGATTTTTGCTCAAATAATAAAAGAAAAACTAAATGATTGTGTTATCAAGACTTTCAGAGAAAGTAAAAAAACAATGTAACACTGATAATGGCAGCCAATTTACTGTCCTGCTCCAATAGACGGTAAGTAACACCTCGCATTAGCGGTAATTTGCTTTTTGTAATTTGATGCAAAGATGATATATTACAATCTATATATTAAAAACTTTCAAGGATTTAAGATGCTGATGACCATTACACGTGTCTTGTGAACAGGGTCCATTAAGAAACAATAATAACATCCATTAAAAAAAAAAACGAACAATCACTTACCTTAAGGCCCCGAAGAAGCTGATAGATGAGGAATTGTACGTGTTCGTCTGAAAGTCTTTGAAACTTGACAATGTTGTTAAGATCTGCTCCCATCAGATTGGTCACTAGATAGCTAGACAGACAGAGATGGACTTAAATCCGATTCAGGACATTTAAATCCTCACACACTTGAAACATGAGCTAGTTTGTCTACCGCAAGTCCAGACGGTTTCAATCAAATCCGAATGTGCCTATTTGGCTTCACTGACATATTTATGTGCACAGATATTGTCACCAGGCAGACACTCACACCTCATTGAATTCCTCGAGAGAAGCTGCCGGAGTGAAAACGTCCAGCAGTCCAATAACCTGGATGACAGGAACATATAACATGAGTGACTCAAGTAGCTGTAGAGCTGAAATAAATCTCAGAATAGAGTGATTGGAACAGACCTATAGGGACATGATTCAGATGTTTGATGTCTAACCAGCTGATTAAAAATACTATGAACAGTTTACTTTTATAATGTTCCAAATATACAGTATATTTCTTAATTTTATCCAAACCTCAAACATATTTTTTTGTGCTGAAAAATCCATGAATTAGCAGTTTTTCATATTTTGCACTTCATATTTCCCCAGATTTATTCATGCTTTCTATTGCATTTTGAGACCTTGATCTTTCTTTGTGTTTCTTTCATCCTTAAAAAGTTGAAGTTTATGAACATTTTAAATAGTTTAAAGTGATATCTCGCCTTGTTTGGTGTTGTATATTACTCTATAAAAACCTTGTAATAACCAGACTCTTTTCTCTATATATTATTTTTATACATTATATTATTATTCCAACTACTAAAATGTCAAGAAAAGTCCCTTTGTTAAACTCTACAGTTGAATTTTCAACATCAAAAGACAACAGAGCAGAGATTAACATCCAATAATATTATTCGCAAAATACAGAAACTCTTAATTTAACAAATACTTTACAGTGAATGCAAATATCTAGGCAGTATATAATATTATAACATTGCAAACATTGTAGAAATGTGTTCTTTAAACATTCTAAGCTAGTTACGTTTTAAAAACAATAAATGTTACAGCACCTCCAGGCTAAAATCTTATTCAGAAAATAAAACATTCCATGAATGTGTTAAATAACATTAAAGCGATAGTCCACCCAAAAATTAAAATGTCATCATTTACTTTGTCCCAAAACTATTATAGTTTATTTCTTCGGCTGAACACAATAGAAAATATTTAAAAGAGAGCCATAAAATGACAACCATTTACTTTCATAGTAGGAAAAACAAATACTATGCAAGTCAATGGTTAGAGATTTCCAACATTCTTCAAATTATCTTCTTTTGTGTTTAATAGAAGAAAGAAAGTCAATCAGGTTTGGAAAAAGTAATGGATGAGTCTATCTCGTTAACTAAAGATTAGGCTCATCATTAAGTCTGTTTATTGTGTAAATGTAAGTAAATGTATATGTAATCAGTTTTTAAATTTATTTTAGTAATATTATTGACTAATTTAAAAATTAAATTTGATTTATTTACAATACAGTTTGTAAAGTTTATTTTCTTCATTGTCTTTTTTTAGATATATTATATTAGAGACTTGCTTTGTAACCGAATGAGTGAATCTAATTGGATTTGCATTGTAAACATTAAAGTTAAAAAGCTATTATTTTGGTAACATTTTATTTTGATGGTCCATTTGAGTATTAGTAGACTGTTTGCTTAATATTTATTGATACTGCTCCTTTAACAGACATTTAACTGACTATTAAAAACTTAGCAAATACATGTCAACTTACACTAACCCCAACCCCAACCTAACTGTCTACTTATAATCTAATGAGAATTAGTTGACAGGAAGATGCATTATAACTTTAATTCAAACAAACGGACCATCAAAATAAAGTGTGATCATTATTTTTTTATTTCATATATTGAGTATTTAGTCACAATAATCCCAAAATCAATCTGCATAAATCACCAGATTTTTTTTTTTTTACAAAATGAGCAAATGAATAGCAAAATTAAACAGCAAAAAAAGTCTGTAGATTGTTTTCTGGCCCTACTAAAGATCGAAGAATGTTCCCTGTTAGCTGTCTAGCGGTTTATATTATAGGAATGGACCTTCAGTATTTGTTTACTCCCCTGTGTTCATGTAATTACATGTTTATGGGTGTCTTGAGGGACTAACATTCTCGTGCTTCATGTGTTTGAGTAGTCTCAGTTCTCTGTATGTTCTTCTGCTGTGGATGAGGGACTGGAAAGGCCTGGAGAGCTTCTTCACGGCCACTTTCTGACGAAGGCGCACGTCATATGCTGAGCTAGAGAGAAAATGTCAGAATTATTGGACTTAAACCTAAAACCATTTCTGCTGAGACTACACCTTATTGCCATGATAACAAGACTGTTATGTTCCTGTTCAATTTGACCTTTCAAAATGGTATCACTTCCTCATAGCAGAACACGCTTTGGATGAAAGCAATTACACAGACACACTCCTATGTTCTTCCACTGAACCAAATCCTCTGGAGAACTGCGTTGAACACGAGTGCATGACATAGAAGTAATTAATACATACATAAAGGTTATTTGTCTCGCCTTCAGAGCCATATCAGTTATTAGTTGGGCGAATTGTATTAAGGTTTCTAGGTGAAAGAGAGACTAAATAAATTGGATCAAGAGTATAAAGGATCATATTCTGCAGTATTATGAATGTGCTTCAGTATATTAAATAAATCAAAATCCTCTGGTAGGTCTTTAGAACTTGATTAATAAAGGAATTTATAGATATTGATTAGCCAAGTCCTGGAGTTTTGTAGCTGCAGCAAAAAATGAATAATTTTTATTTGTTATATTTTTAAGAGAATCGTGCATTATTTTATTTCTTTATTTTAACTTAATTTTTTTTATTATTATTATTGTTTCATTTTATTTAATAACATTTTTTTAATTTAATTTAAATGTTATATAATATATATGAATTACATATATATATATATATATATATATATATATATATATATATATATATATATATATATATATATATATATATATATTACATTGTATTTGTTTATTTATTTTTATTTATTTATTGTTTATTTTAAATATATGTATTTATTTATTTATTTAATTTTGTTTTATTTTATTTTATTATTTATTTATTTTTATTTTTTTTGTATTTTATTTTATTGTCATCACCAAAGTCTTTGACTCTATAAAAGACAAGGAGCACCCAACCCCCATTTGGGATGCTCCCAGTCTCTGATTGAACCCGTCCACACTCCAGGTCTGCCCAGCCCCCTTCCTTTAAAATAAATCGGCTCTGCTGTGAAGAAGTCAAATAATCACACAATAGAAAGGCCTTAATGTGAACAATGCAAATTCACAGCTCTTTTGAAAGAAAGAAAGCATTTGTGGGAGTGATTGTGTGTGTGAGAGAGAGACATTCCTGTGGATTGAAATGAAGGGGATTTGAATAGGGGTTGTTCATTTTTCTAATCGTGCTTTAATTCTGTTACATCCGAATATATATTCAAATTAAGATGTTATTAACAAATCAGACTTAATTGCATTGGGATGCAGTGATTAAATGACGGTTGCATTGCATGGTTTATTAAAGCACGATGGGATTATCATTAAACAAATACATAACAATAACTTAATCAGACCTCCCGTGTCAGATAACACGCTGTAATGTCTCTATTATCATATCCCAGGGCTATCAGAAACAACTGAACCCATTCACGTCCACATGGGATCCAATCAGGAGCAATTAAATCCCCTGTGCAAATCCATTGTTAGTGTTGTGCATCTTTTAATACAGATAATGAAATAATTAGGTCTCAGGTGGTCTCCGGATGTTGTGGGGCATCTGCATCATTGACAGTGAAATGAGCTGGATCGTATAATTTTTCAGAGCGGGCAAACCTGCCAAATAAACGGGAAGGAAAGACTGGTAATAGCTTCCAACATAAGACGCCATGCGATGCCCTCAGGCAATGTTCTCTGTTGTTGTTGTTTTTAGATGCCTTTGGGTTTGCTATATTCATTTAGTATTTCAGTGCACTTATTTTAGTTACGTAAACGGGAACTGAGAGTCTTAACAAACCCCAATTGTGCCATTTTAAAAGTTCCTTGTTTCAGACACCCCTTACCATATGTGCACATACATCCGAGTTACTCAAATATTTATAGTTTGTTCATGATAATATCTCTAAACCCCTCCTCTTTTGAAAGCCAACTGTTTTCTGATTGGTGAGATGGCCTAGTTCGTTGTGATTGGTGGACCCTTTTCAGCAATTGCTGCATTATCATATCTAAATTTTAGCACCAGAGGCTTCTAAGCACTTATAAAAATTGTATACATTCATTTATTCATTTTCCTTCAGCTTAGTCCCTTTGTTTATCAGGGATCCCCACAGCGGAATGAACCGCCAACTTATCCAGCAATTATTTTATGCAGCAAATGTCTTTAGACTGGGGGGGAAACCGGAGCACCCAGAGGAAACCCATGCCAACACAAATAGAGGATGCAAAAAATGCCAACCCACCCAGTTGAGGCTCGAACCATCAACCTTCTTGCTGTGAGGCGACAGTGCAAACCACTATGCCACCAAAACTTTATACAATCTAAACGTAATATTTTTATTAGCAGTAACAGTATCTTTGTTTTACTGTAGTTAATAGATGCAAAATGGCTTTTTGGCATGTCTTTAACAGAAGCTGTGTGATATTGAATGCATTATGCAGTAGAATGATAAATAAAATGATATTCAATATCTGATGCAACGTTTTTAAAAAATTATATAAGTATGCAAATTTTTCATATTATTTCAGGGAAAAGTGAGCCATGTTTTAGTCTTGCCATAAACTAATATTTTAACATTGTAAACAAACCAAAAATATATACTTTGCTTCAACGTGTTGTTTAATCAACCTGAAAACATTAAAAGCAATGGGATAAACAAAAACATTTGTGTAGTTACATATTGGCTGTCTTGTTAATTTCTAAACATGGCTTGATTGCTGAGTCATATGTCAGCATTTATATTAAAAGTGATTTACAAATGATTTACAGTTATTTTCTACAAAAGTATAGAAAAGTGATTTACTGATTTTTGAACAAGAAAACCACACTGTAAAAAATGGCTGTGATTTCAACCGTAAAAATCTGTAAAAATACTACAATACAAATCCGTAACCTGGTTAACGGTATATTTCCTTAATATATACGGCGAATAACCGTAAATTGACTTTCATGGCACATAACTTTTTATGCATTTTGTTAACATTAATATGGATCTTTTTAGTTGTTTCCCCATCAGTTATGCACATTAGAGATTTATGCTACATCTAATGATGATAAACAATGTTTATTTCATGACTTTAATTTTATGCGTGTTACCATACTGGTGTTTAGTAGCTGTGTGAATGACACTGAGCACCTTCTATATGCTGATACTCTTTTCTGCTTGTGGGAAAAGTTAATTGTGATGAGCATTGGCTATTTATGTGACTTCCTCAACACCACCTGCATGTGGGTGTGCTAACGTGTCTAACTGTGTAACAAAAGATGTGTAGATGTTGATCATTCAAAATACAGACATATTACCTCGATACTTAATGAAATTCGGTAGTTTACTGTAAAAATGACAAATTACTTGTACAGTTTGTGTTGGTTTTAACGGTAAAGTACTGGCAACCACAGCTGCCGTTTTTTTTACCGTAATTTTTAAGGATTTATTTTTTAAAATAGTATAACTATGCTATTATGTGTGTGATAATGGCAGGCAGGCACATCAAGAAACTCTCGTATTAAACTTCTCATTTATTGCCAACCATTGCGATATATGTACATTAGGTGTGTGCGATATCAGACAAATCGAACATTGTGATATTTTCTTATTCTGCGAAAAATATTGCGATATGAATACAATTGACGACTTGAATATCTCTGTTTGGAAAGGGTTTATAATTTTATATTGCATACATTCTAATTATATTCTACAAGCATGGATGAACACAATAAAGAAAAAGATACAAATTAAATTCACAATCTTTTATTATTTATCAGGAGCTTAACAATCAAATATGCAGTCACTGATTTGATTTCATTTTATTGACAATGATGTGTTGTATTTATTGTACTGTAAGTGTATATTGTATTTGTTAAATTTGTTACTTCCTGTACAGGGACTACAGATGTAAATTAGCTTTATAGCTAACTCTGGCACAACATGTCATGTTGTACATTGTCCCTGTATAAATAAATAAAGTAAATAAAATAAAAATAAACAGTATTCAGGTAAGCAGTAATTGAAGACTTAAATGCAAAATATTACTGCAAAGTCTTCATTATAAATCATTTATTAAAAGGAATCGTTACTAATTAATAATAATAATACTAATTCCTTACATTTATACAGTGCTTTTCTGGACATTTACAGCACTTCGCACATTTTTGGATAGAATCACCCCATCCACCACCAGTGTGTGGCATCCTCCTGGATGACAAAGGCAAAAATCCCACAAAAGCATAACAGAGGCTCTTCCAATACCACCATGACTCACATTTTGACCATTCGAGTCCTCTAGCGGTGGCACTGTGGCTCAGTGGTTAGCACTGTTGCCTCACAGCAAGAAGGTCGCTGATTTGAGTCCCGGCTGGGCCAGTTGGCATTTCTGTGTGGAGTTTGCATGTTCTCCCCGTGTTGGTGTGGGTTTCCTCCGGGTGCTCGGATTTCCCTCACAGTCCAAAGACAAGCGCTATAGATTAATTGAACAAACCAAATTTAAGTATGGGTGTTTGTATGGGTATTTCCCAGTACTGGGTTGCAACCCGAAGGGCATCCCCTGTGTAAAACATATGCTGGATAAGTCGGTGGTTCATTCCGCTGTGGCGACCCCTGACAAATAAAGGGACTAAGTAGAATGAAAATGACAATTTTGATGTAACAGCAGCTTGCAGATGTAATGCTGAGCGGAAACAGCAGTGACTGCTTACACAACGATTGTGAAACTTGACCAGAAAAAAAGTTGGGGAAGGGGAAGAGAAACACGTTTACTTGTGCAGTTAATTAAGCATGTTATCTACATCCTTTCTTTTTAGAATGCACCTAATAGCTTAAATATAATCTTACTAAATTACCTTTACCTGACTGACAGGTTTGCAGTATCCGTAAATTGATATGGTGAAACTGGGAAGATGCTGAGGCCAGGAGCTGCGTCACCATGGCAACGGTTTCAGTCAGTCACAGCACGAGGGAGGCTCTAATGTTGTAGTTGAGATGCTACAGTGAGCAGTGCAATGTAAATCTCTCAGAATGAGTGCATTATGGCTGGATGAGAGGTCTGGATGTTTTCCAGTGCAGATGGACATGATGGGGGTGTGGCACGGGTAGCACTACAGGAAGGTCTTTGCTTGTAAAGCAGGAACTGAATAGGCCTAGCATGTAGTCTAGAGCAATATTATCGTAACAGATGGGCATGTTGGTAGGTTGCTTAAACAACCTAACCACAAGCTGAAGCCTCAGTATGTGTTGTTCTGTACATTAACAAAGCGGATTTGACTACCTGAGATATACAGGAAAACACCTTTGCAGTCTTTAAGATCTGTCTTTTTGTTCTTGATGTACTGCCAGATACACAAATCAGTTTTCAGATGATTTCATTTGACTTTCTTTATCTTTTTAACATGTATAGCACATTATGCCAAGCTGATATTATTGCTGCAGAAATGATTGACACATGTCAGTAAACAAAGGAGCAACAGCAACAATATAGGCTATTAAAAGCAATGCCAACAAACATAGTTTATATAATATGCAATTTTAAAATTCTTTTAAATTGTTAATTATCATTGTGAGACAAAAGACAAATCAGTATTTTGTTTTCTTCTAAAATGCGTGCCGGATGTTGTTTTGTCAGGCTTGATTCCTGCCTCACCCTCTCTTCCCTCTTGGACGCGATGTTACGAATCCTACTATGATGAAGGCTTGGCTAATGAATATTAACGTGTTAAATCTGACGTTGCTTGGTAACCTTCCTGAATCGTCACATAGTATAATATTCATGAGCCACGCCTGCAGTTTTGAAGCGGTCCTTCTAGTTTCGTCAGCGCTTCATCTAATTATCGGCTGCGTCATTAATATTCATAAGTAACACCTTATTCATAGTAGAATCTGTAAACTCGCCTGCTGGACTCACCATACTGAGCCATATGCCCCCGATCCAACCGGTGTAAGGTTCTGGTATCGTTCTGGCACCTCCCAGACAGTCTTGTTTAATTCTTGCCGGTAGAATCCCGGTCTTGTCGCCATGTTTTCCGTTTAAAAAGACGCTCTTTACTGTAAAAGTGTAAGGAAAACACTAACGCATCCGCCAAAGGGATGTGCCTGTGCGTGGAGGCAGCCGGCTTCAGTCTCTCTTCTTCTATTTGCCAGAAATGGGAGGAACCGTCAGTGGTGTGTGTGTGTGGTTGTAGAGAGAGATATGGGGGATGGGGAAAGCAATCGAAATAATTATTAAAACAAATCCTCAGATGTAATTTACTTATTATTTTTATTATTGTTATTATTATTATTACTATTATTATTAGCCATTAGCCATCATTATTGGGCCATTCTTATTATTATTATTACTATTATTATTATTATTATTATTATTGTTACTATTATTATTATTATAACTATTATTATTATTACTATTATTATTATTAGGCATTAGCCATCATTATTGGGCCATTATTGTTGTTATTGTTATTATTATTATTATTATTATTATTATTATTAGGCATTAGCCATCATTATTGGGCCATTCTTATTATTATTATCACTATTATTATTATTATTATTATTATTATTATTATTAGTGTATTAGCCATCATTATTGGGCCATTCTTATTATTATTATTACTATTATTATTAATATTATTATTACTATTATTATTATTATTATTATTATTATTATTAGGCATTAGCCATCATTATTGGGCCATTATTGTTGTTATTGTTATTATTTTTATTTTTATTATTGTTATTATTATTAGTATTATTAGTATTAGTATTATTATTAGGCATTAGCCATCATTATTGGGGCAATATTGTTTTTGTTATTATTATTATTACTATTACCAACAAAAATTACCACTATATTTTCTTAACTATTATGACAATTCTAAAGAAAGAAAAAATAAATAAATAAATAAATAGTCATGTAATTGACAACACAATGTTGTCATACAAGTTTAAAAACAGCTTAACAGATACTTTGAAATATTAGTTTATTATCTGTCATCTAAATGATCTTTCATCTTTTTGTAATCAAATTAATTGAAATGTCCATACCACTAAACAGTTTAGAAACTAGTTTAGAAACCAGATGAATAATTAATCTTATTAATCTCATTTTCTGTGATCATCAGTAACTGACTCCAAATAGGAAACAGCCCCATCTAGTGTTTAACTCCTGGTAAGTCATGGCAAAAAAAGACACATTTATAGTATGAATGCCCAGTTAAAGATGGACAAAATGTAGAAATTTAAATGAATACTGGTGCAAACTATTTATCACAACAGAGCAAGCAATGAAAACTCTGAAAAACTCAATTGTGTGAAGTACTCTTGTGCCATTAAAAAATCTTGTGGCGAGTTTTGTAGTATCATAGTGCACCATCTCATCTTTTTCATTCATTGATTGTATATACAGTTGAAGTCAGAATTATTAGCCCCCTTTTGAATTTTTCAATCCTTTTTAAATATTTCCCTAATGATGTTTAACAGAGCAAGGACATTTTCACAGTATGTCTGATAATGTTTTTTCTTCCGGAGAAAGTCTTGATTGTTTTATTTCGCCTAAAACTAAAGCTGTTTTTAATTTTTAAAACACTATTTTAAGAACAATATTATTAGCTCCTTTAAGCCATTTTTTAATAGTCTACAGAACAAATCATCAATATGCAATAACTTGCCTTATTACCCTAACCTGCCTAGTTAACCTAGTTAAGCCTTTAAATGTCACTTTAAGCTCTATAGAAGTGTCTTAGAAAATATGTAGTAAATTATCATTTACTGTCATCATGGCAAAGATAAAATAAATCAGTTATTAGAGATGAGTTATTAAAACTATTATGTTTAGAAATGTGTTGAAAAAATCTGCTCTCTGTTAAACCGAAAATGGGAAAAAAATAAACAGAGGGGCTAATAATTCTGACTTCAACTGTAAGTAAAATAAATTGAAATTGAAATGTGTTACACTATTCTGATAAGTATGATAAAAAAGATTATTTATGTTTTGTTTTTGACTTGGCTATGATGATAGCATTTTGTATAGCTTCTACTATCATGATAGAATTTCTATAGCTTCCATCATAGTATTTATAGTCGACTCTAAGAAAGATCAGATCCTTAAACCGAACATTTCAGACACTGTGAGGATGGAGCTGATGCTAAAGTGTATATTATGAAAAGAGTTTGACACTAGGTGGATTTAGAAACTATTTTAGTCTTTCAGGATGTCAATTGAAGTATTTAAAATAACAAAGGGGCACGCATATGTCTGAAATATGTCAAAAAATTGTCAATTTTACAGTAAATGACTGTAAAGCTTGTCAAAAGTTTGCATACAATCCAAAAAAGGTAAATGATGATGTAAAAGACGCTGAAAGACCCTATCCATTCCCATTGTACCATTTACCAGTCTGATTGCATTTGCAAATTGACAGCAGGAAAACCTTTTCATGCAGTAAATCAGAGGATGCAAAGATTATAAAATTAAAAAGAGTAATTAAAACAAATAATATCGTTGACTTAAATGATTCTGAGTTAAAGATTATGCTGAAACCGACCAAGATTTATTTCAGAATGAATATGCCCTCACTCAGAAACAGTATCCCAATAATTCACAAAATGTTCATTGCTTTACTTCATGTCCATATGTTTTCTCAGTGAATAACAATGCTAATCTGCTGAACGTAGTCTGCAGTTTTACAGTGTAGTCAAGCCCACTGAATGCAAAGCAGTGTCTTTGTATGTGGTTCATTCAAACATTTTACTTTGTAATTTGTGCAAAGTTTGCTACATTATACCAAGTAACAGACATTTGCATGATATTTGTATCGGCCAAATATTGTCCTATTCTAACAAACTAAACATCAATGGGAAACTTATATCTTCAGCTTTTTAGATGGTGTATGAAAAATGTAAAGTTTTGCGGTCGCATTTAGTTCTGTTGAGTTTCATTTACATTTATTCATTTGGCACAAGGGCTTAGCTTATAAGTAAGGATAAAAAAGATCTTCAAATCATCAGAGTTGCAATATATGCAGTTGAAGTCAGAGTTATTAGCCTCCCTGAATTATTAGCCCCCTGTTTTTTCCCCCCCCAAAATTTCTGTTTAACATAGAGCAGATTTTTTCAACACATTTCTAAACATAATAGTTCAACTCATTTCTAATAACTGATTTATTTTCTCTTTGCCATGATGACAGTGCATAATATTTTACTATATATTTTAAGATACTTCTATACAGCTTAAAGTGACATTTAAAGACTTAACTAGGTTAATTAGGTTAACTAGGCAATTAGGGTAATTAGGCAAGTTATTGTATAATGATGGTTTGTTCTGTAGATTATCGAAGGAAAATATAGCTTAAAGGGGCTAATAATTTTGACCTTAAAAAGGTTTTTAAAAAATGTAAAACTGCTTTTATTTCAGCCGAAAAAAAACAAATAAGACTTTTTCCTGAAGAAACAATATTATCAGACATACTGTAAAAATTTCCTTGCTCTGTTGAACATAATTTGGGAAATATTTAACAAAGACAAAAACAATCTGACTTCAACTGTAAATGCTATGACAGTTTTAATTATTATTGTTTTTTATATTTATTTATTTATTTTATATATTTTTTTATATATGTAATGGGTTTATTTAATTAAAGTAAAATTAATTAAAGTAAAATTAACGTAGTCACATTGAATCATGCACAGAATTTGTTCCCCGCTGAAACAGACAGAAACGAAGATGACAGGCCAAAATTTTTGATTTCTGGAATGGAAGTATTCTTATTATTTTAAAAGCATAAAAGGTAAGTAAAAAGGTAAATGAAGAGGTTATTCATTGTTAATTGCAGATCTCCTCTATTAATAAAAAGGTTTTCAAAGACATCAAGCCACAACCTCAAGTAATGCATTACTTGCTATAAAAATAACTAGGTAGCGCAACTAGTTACTTTTTTAGGGAGTAACTCAATATTGTAATGCATTACTTTCTAAAGTAACTTTCCCCAACACTGATTATCATTATCAATTTATTATTCAAATTAATATTCAGAAAAAATCTTCTGCTGTTCCAAATAAGTTGAACACAAGTGGAGAAAATACCCAACTAAAAATCCTCCTCCTACATCTACTAAAAAAATATTTAATAAAATAATCAGTTCATTCATTTACAATTCTATTTTAATATAAGTGGTTACGAACAACTTATATGGACTGAATAAAAAAAATAAAATAAAGTTAAACATTACTAAATTTTATTTGTTTAAATTCAGCCCATATAAATTGTTTGCAATGACTTACCTTACAAAAAATAGTAAATCCAGTTAATCATTATTACACATTACACATTTGAGTGTACTGCAACATGTCAGATGCAAAATGGCTTAAATGGGTTTTTAAAACAAATATCTGTAAACTGATTATACCACAAACCTTAGTAAACCATGTTCCTTGATCCATTTAAATACTCCCCTTACATTTTACCTCTTTTACATTTTGCCTGGCTTTTATTTACATCCATTTTCAGCCTCATTTGCAATGAGGTCAGCCGCAAAAATAACAGTGTACATGTCTTTACATCTCTGCTTTTTCCAGTAATCCTGACAGCTCTGTTTTTCACACTAGAAGAGCATTTCCACGTACACAAGCTTTAATATGAATATGCCCTTCTGTGTGTATCTGCTAAAAGCTTACGTTTAACAGTTGCACACGAAGACAGATCATGTAAATTAACTTCACGTTGATGTCAGGTTATTTCTCGCCCTCCATTTGATGAACAGCTTTTCAATTTGGATTCACTCCAGGGAACATTGTACATCATTCATCCTGATTTTTGACCACAATAAGCACTTCTCTGAGACTCTGGCATCCATTCTCTCGAAATCTGCCTTATCTGATAGACCCCAGACATCATCACACACTGCTCCTCGCTGACCATTATAATGAACTTTCACTCATGCAGAACATTTTTACTGTTCACCAGTCTGATTATTCCTTCAATTTGGACAACAAAATTTAACCACATCTTTACACAATTGCAAAAGTACATAAGATGAAATACGTCTGCTAATGTTTTTAGGATGATGCCTGGCAACGTTGTTGTCTCTCACATATGATTATGTGATAAAGATTTGCAGGTT